TTACATTTAGAACATTGCGGGTTCATTTTTGCGTTATATTCTGAAACCTTACCTGCTAAAACAACTAAAGCGTCAATGGTTTTCTTTAACTCAAACATAGCGGGTCTTATTTGTTTGTTCCATACTTTACCTCTTCTATCTTCATCTCTTATCTGCCATACACATTCAGCAACTAACGAAACAAGGTTGTCGTAGGTCTTAAATTCTTCAGATTTATATATGTCAGAAACATTCTTATATCCATGTCGCAATCTTTGTCCATAACCTTATGGTTGCAATGAAATCCTAGAAACTCATAGTTTACCTTTCGTATGAACTTCTTTATTTCTACTGAGTCAGTTGCTTTGACTTCTATTTCATCGAATTCAGGAATAGTGAGTTTTTGTTGCTGAATTTCAGGTAGTTTAGGCAAATGGTCAATAATGTCCTCCATTTCATAAAGATACTGTTCATTTGTTTCATCTTTCGCACTACAGTCTAAATTACTTGTTAAAAGTTCTTGCTTTATCTTCTGGATTTTTGTTTCGAAAGTATATGAAGAAGGAATGAAGCTTTTCATCTCTACTAACATAGATGTTGGATTCATGACTAACGAGTTTGGTGCTGTAGTTGTTTGTATTGCTGTTGTGCCGATTGTTGACATTTTTATTTTTTTATACAAAATAAAAAAAATAAAAAAAATAAAACTAACTTTATTTTTTATTTCGGGAAAATTCATGAAAATTCAAGAGGTGAAAAAAGAGGTGAAAAAACAGGTGAGATCTCACTTCTTCACCTAAACTTTATTTTTGGGTCCTTTACACTCATTACGATGAAGAAGTCTTGACAAAACATGTACGTTCATGTTTGACAAAACATGAACGATGAAGTCATGACAAAACATATACGAAGAAGTCTTGACACTTTTTCATTAGATAACTGTTATTTTTTGACGAAGTGAACATTGACACTTCGTCAAAAAAATCCCTGAAATCATATCTTACATACAAAATAAAAAAATAAAATGACACTTTTTCATTAGATAACTGTTATTTTTTGACGAAGTGAACATTGACACTTCGTCAAAAAAATCCCTGAAATCATATCTTACATACAAAATAAAAAATAAAACTAACTTTATTTTCTGACTTTCACAAAAGACCAAAAATAAACGCTTTACATGTATTTTTTCAGCAACTTCGTCAAATAATTTTATAGCTTTATCTATCTCATCTACTTCAAACGTTTCTTTACCTTTTATGGAGCACCATACATTTTCTCAAACTTTTCAAGTAGTTCTGTTTCAGCAGCTCTCATATCATTAACAAACACAACCTTGACTATATTGACTGTACTGTCATATCTTAGAGTTATATTATATGTTCTTCCTATCTTATATCTTTTTGTATTGAAGTCCTTCGGTTTCTGAACGATGTAAAGTAAGCCTTCACTGCAACGTTCCGTATCGAATGAACCATATGTTATGAAGTTATATCCAACAACTGGGTCTAACCATAACAAAACTATTGGTATAAGACTTTTGTCGATGAGATATGCTGCAGTTCCATAGAATCTTACCGATATCATAAGCTCAGGATTTCTTGTCAAAATTTTCTGAGTTGAAGCATTTCTAACCCAGTCGTTTGTTTTCTTTCCAGATGGAGATATAATGTCTGACAAAGAATATTTGTTGTATTTCTTTGAGTATCTTACGTTTAAATCACCTATTCTAACCACTTTGGTGTCATTGTCTATCTTTCTAACTGTTTCAAACTCAATGTTTGTCATTTCTGTTCTTACATACAAAATAAAAAATAAATAAAAATAAAACTAACTTTATTTTTTCTGTCTTAAGGAAATTCATGAAAATTCATGAGGTTAGAAAACGTGTTAGAAAACGTGTTAGATCTAACATTCTAACATAAATTATATTTTTACTGAATTCAATAAAAATAAATGGTTCATTTACTCACAATATTTTTTACAAAACGACCCAAACTTTTAACTTCTTTTCTGCAGCTTCAAATGCTATCTTAGCGAGTTCATATTCTCTAAATTCTCTCTTTAAATCTTCTTGTTCCCATTGGTCTAGTTCGTATGGAGAATCTCTATAACCATAATATATCTCACGTTCATGTTCTAATTGTTTTTCACACATTTTTCCAACTTCTTCTTCGAACAAAGGTTTAGCATTCTCCACTGTATCTTCGAGTTCTTCTTCATCTAATTTCTCATGAACTTTCTTGTCTATGGAGTCCATAATTTTTCCAACTGCTATGCAATATTTTGGAGAAGCCCACATTGCTATATAGTTTATAAGTCTTGGGTCTACATACGTTCCTCTAACCTGTTTGATTTCATCAGGAATTCCGGCATGAATTTTGTATAAAAAGCAACCGTCTGAATTCCGGCGGTTGCTATATTCTTCACAAAATGCCTTATAATACTCTTCCCAGGACTTATTTTCCAACAACTTTCTAAAGTCTTTCCTAAACTGCTGACACATATTTGTTGCATTAATGTAACTATCCTTGTCTCTACGTAAGACTTCAATACCGTTATAAGTACCTTTTGTGAATGTTTCGCCATTAGATTTGTTCGTGAACGTTTTTGCTTCGACTGACATTTCTGTTCTTACATACAAAATAAAAAAATAAATAAAAATAAAACTAACTTTATTTTTTCTGTCTTAAGGAAATTCATGAAATTTGGTCATTTTTCAGCAAAAATAAAGTTTAGGTGAAGTGGTGCGATCTCACCTGTTTTTTCACCTAATTTTTCACAAGCGTTTTACATGAATTGTACGATGTATATTTGAAATCTTAAACAGTTTCGTAGCCTCTATTTCTTCTTTTAGTACATCGAATGTTTTAACTATGCCGAAGGTTTCTTTATACTTCTTCTTGACGTCAGATAATAGGAAATCGTCAGCAGTTGGATAGTTTTTGTTCAGAAATTCTAACATGTCCATTTTATCTTCTGCTGGCTTTTCTGCTTCTTTCTTTAAGTCTGCATAGTCGTTTCTCATACGTTCTATCTCTTTGACGGAGTAGTTATATCTCCTCATTGCTGCTTTACATTTAGAACATTGCGGGTTCATTTTTGCGTTATATTCTGAAACCTTACCTGCTAAAACAACTAAAGCGTCAATGGTTTTCTTTAACTCAAACATAGCGGGTCTTATTTGTTTGTTCCATACTTTACCTCTTCTATCTTCATCTCTTATCTGCCATACACATTCAGCAACTAACGAAACAAGGTTGTCGTAGGTCTTAAATTCTTCAGATTTATATATGTCAGAAACATTCTTATATACCATGTCGCAATCTTTGTCCATAACCTTATGGTTGCAATGAAATCCTAGAAACTCATAGTTTACCTTTCGTATGAACTTCTTTATTTCTACTGAGTCAGTTGCTTTGACTTCTATTTCATCGAATTCAGGAATAGTGAGTTTTTGTTGCTGAATTTCAGGTAGTTTAGGCAAATGGTCAATAATGTCCTCCATTTCATAAAGATACTGTTCATTTGTTTCATCTTTCGCACTACAGTCTAAATTACTTGTTAAAAGTTCTTGCTTTATCTTCTGGATTTTTGTTTCGAAAGTATATGAAGAAGGAATGAAGCTTTTCATCTCTACTAACATAGATGTTGGATTCATGACTAACGAGTTTGGTGCTGTAGTTGTTTGTATTGCTGTTGTGCCGATTGTTGACATTTTTATTTTTTTATACAAAATAAAAAAAATAAAAAAAATAAAACTAACTTTATTTTTTATTTCGGGAAAATTCATGAAAATTCAAGAGGTGAAAAAAGAGGTGAAAAAACAGGTGAGATCTCACTTCTTCACCTAAACTTTATTTTTGGGTCCTTTACACTCATTACGATGAAGAAGTCTTGACAAAACATGTACGTTCATGTTTGACAAAACATGAACGATGAAGTCATGACAAAACATATACGAAGAAGTCTTGACACTTTTTCATTAGATAACTGTTATTTTTTGACGAAGTGAACATTGACACTTCGTCAAAAAAATCCCTGAAATCATATCTTACATACAAAATAAAAAAATAAAATGACACTTTTTCATTAGATAACTGTTATTTTTTGACGAAGTGAACATTGACACTTCGTCAAAAAAATCCCTGAAATCATATCTTACATACAAAATAAAAAAATAAAACTAACTTTATTTTCTGACTTTCACAAAAGACCAAAAATAAACGCTTTACATGTATTTTTCAGCAACTTCGTCAAATAATTTTATAGCTTTATCTATCTCATCTACTTCAAACGTTTCTTTACCTTTTATGGGAGCACCATACATTTTCTCAAACTTTTCAAGTAGTTCTGTTTCTGCAGCTCTCATATCATTAACAAACACAACCTTGACTATATTGACTGTACTGTCATATCTTAGAGTTATATTATATGTTCTTCCTATCTTATATCTTTTTGTATTGAAGTCCTTCGGTTTCTGAACGATGTAAAGTAAGCCTTCACTGCAACGTTCCGTATCGAATGAACCATATGTTATGAAGTTATATCCAACAACTGGGTCTAACCATAACAAAACTATTGGTATAAGACTTTTGTCGATGAGATATGCTGCAGTTCCATAGAATCTTACCGATATCATAAGCTCAGGATTTCTTGTCAAAATTTTCTGAGTTGAAGCATTTCTAACCCAGTCGTTTGTTTTCTTTCCAGATGGAGATATAATGTCTGACAAAGAATATTTGTTGTATTTCTTTGAGTATCTTACGTTTAAATCACCTATTCTAACCACTTTGGTGTCATTGTCTATCTTTCTAACTGTTTCAAACTCAATGTTTGTCATTTCTGTTCTTACATACAAAATAAAAAAATAAATAAAAATAAAACTAACTTTATTTTTTCTGTCTTAAGGAAATTCATGAAAATTCATGAGGTTAGAAAACGTGTTAGAAAACGTGTTAGATCTAACATTCTAACATAAATTATATTTTTACTGAATTCAATAAAAATAAATGGTTCATTTACTCACAATATTTTTTTACAAAACGACCCCAAACTTTTAACTTCTTTTCTGCAGCTTCAAATGCTATCTTAGCGAGTTCATATTCTCTAAATTCTCTCTTTAAATCTTCTTGTTCCCATTGGTCTAGTTCGTATGGAGAATCTCTATAACCATAATATATCTCACGTTCATGTTCTAATTGTTTTTCACACATTTTTCCAACTTCTTCTTCGAACAAAGGTTTAGCATTCTCCACTGTATCTTCGAGTTCTTCTTCATCTAATTTCTCATGAACTTTCTTGTCTATGGAGTCCATAATTTTTCCAACTGCTATGCAATATTTTGGAGAAGCCCACATTGCTATATAGTTTATAAGTCTTGGGTCTACATACGTTCCTCTAACCTGTTTGATTTCATCAGGAATTCCGGCATGAATTTTGTATAAAAAGCAACCGTCTGAATTCCGGCGGTTGCTATATTCTTCACAAAATGCCTTATAATACTCTTCCCAGGACTTATTTTCCAACAACTTTCTAAAGTCTTTCCTAAACTGCTGACACATATTTGTTGCATTAATGTAACTATCCTTGTCTCTACGTAAGACTTCAATACCGTTATAAGTACCTTTTGTGAATGTTTCGCCATTAGATTTGTTCGTGAACGTTTTTGCTTCGACTGACATTTCTGTTCTTACATACAAAATAAAAAATAAATAAAAATAAAACTAACTTTATTTTTTCTGTCTTAAGGAAATTCATGAAATTTGGTCATTTTTCAGCAAAAATAAAGTTTAGGTGAAGTGGTGCGATCTCACCTGTTTTTTCACCTAATTTTTCACAAGCGTTTTACATGAATTGTACGATGTATATTTGAAATCTTAAACAGTTTCGTAGCCTCTATTTCTTCTTTTAGTACATCGAATGTTTTAACTATGCCGAAGGTTTCTTTATACTTCTTCTTGACGTCAGATAATAGGAAATCGTCAGCAGTTGGATAGTTTTTGTTCAGAAATTCTAACATGTCCATTTTATCTTCTGCTGGCTTTTCTGCTTCTTTCTTTAAGTCTGCATAGTCGTTTCTCATACGTTCTATCTCTTTGACGGAGTAGTTATATCTCCTCATTGCTGCTTTACATTTAGAACATTGCGGTTCATTTTTGCGTTATATTCTGAAACCTTACCTGCTAAAACAACTAAAGCGTCAATGGTTTTCTTTAACTCAAACATAGCGGGTCTTATTTGTTTGTTCCATACTTTACCTCTTCTATCTTCATCTCTTATCTGCCATACACATTCAGCAACTAACGAAACAAGGTTGTCGTAGGTCTTAAATTCTTCAGATTTATATATGTCAGAAACATTCTTATATACCATGTCGCAATCTTTGTCCATAACCTTATGGTTGCAATGAAATCCTAGAAACTCATAGTTTACCTTTCGTATGAACTTCTTTATTTCTACTGAGTCAGTTGCTTTGACTTCTATTTCATCGAATTCAGGAATAGTGAGTTTTTGTTGCTGAATTTCAGGTAGTTTAGGCAAATGGTCAATAATGTCCTCCATTTCATAAAGATACTGTTCATTTGTTTCATCTTTCGCACTACAGTCTAAATTACTTGTTAAAAGTTCTTGCTTTATCTTCTGGATTTTTGTTTCGAAAGTATATGAAGAAGGAATGAAGCTTTTCATCTCTACTAACATAGATGTTGGATTCATGACTAACGAGTTTGGTGCTGTAGTTGTTTGTATTGCTGTTGTGCCGATTGTTGACATTTTTATTTTTTTATACAAAATAAAAAAAATAAAAAAAATAAAACTAACTTTATTTTTTATTTCGGGAAAATTCATGAAAATTCAAGAGGTGAAAAAAGAGGTGAAAAAACAGGTGAGATCTCACTTCTTCACCTAAACTTTATTTTTGGGTCCTTTACACTCATTACGATGAAGAAGTCTTGACAAAACATGTACGTTCATGTTTGACAAAACATGAACGATGAAGTCATGACAAAACATATACGAAGAAGTCTTGACACTTTTTCATTAGATAACTGTTATTTTTTGACGAAGTGAACATTGACACTTCGTCAAAAAAATCCCTGAAATCATATCTTACATACAAAATAAAAAAATAAAATGACACTTTTTCATTAGATAACTGTTATTTTTTGACGAAGTGAACATTGACACTTCGTCAAAAAAATCCCTGAAATCATATCTTTTATACAAAATAAATAAAATAAAACTAACTTTATTTTTTCTATCTTAAGGAAATTCATGACAAATTCAAGAGGTGAAAAAGAGGTGAAAAAACAGGTGAGATCGCACCACTTCACCTAAACATTATTTTTGTCTGATTTACGCTCATTACGATGAAGAAGTCTTGACAAAGCATGTACGTTCATGTTTGACAAAACATTTACGAAGAAGTCTTGACAAAACATGTACGATGAAGTCATGACAAAACATATACGAAGAAGTCTTGACAAAACATTTACGATGAAATCATGAAAATTCAAGAGGGTAGAAAAGAGGTTAGATCTAACATGTTAACATAAATTATATTTTTGGTCCGGGAACAACTTTCTCTCAATTGGAGCTGTAGCATACTCTTTGCGTAAACGGTTCAGACCTTCTTCGAACTCTTGGTCTCTCTTCGATTTGGATTGAGATTGGAATTGCTGGGGTGGAGCTTGCTGGAACATCCAAGGGTTGGGGAAGTAAGGCATAGGCAGAGGAGGGTAGTTCGGGAAGCCTTGTGGTGGGTAGTAACCTTGAGGTGGAAATTGGTAGTAAATCGGAGGTACTTGCTGGAACTGAGGTGCAGGGGCTGGTGCTTTAGGTTCCTCTGGTTTGGGAATGGACTGGGTTGGTGGTACGTCGGACATTGTTCTGAAACAGTACAAATATTGTTCTGAAACAGTACAAATATTGTTCTGAAACAGTACAAATATTGTTCTGAAACAGTACAAATATTGTTCTGAAACAGTACAAATATTGTTCTGAAACAGTACAAATATTGTTCTGAAACAGTACAAATATTGTTCTGAAACAGTACAAGTATTGTTCTGAAAAAGTACAAGTATTGTTCTGAAAAAGTACAAGTATTGTTCTGAAACAGAAAATTTTTCTCACAAATTGAGAGCTTTTCCGGGAAATTTGTTCTGAAACAGGACAAGTATTGTTCTGAAAAAGTACAAGTATTGTTCTGAAACAGTACAAGACTAGTTCTGAAACAGGACAAGTATTGTTCTGAAAAAGTACAAGACTAGTTCTGAAACAGAACAATGGACAACATCGAGCCATTAGATGAGGCAATTTACCTTATAGAGATAAATGAAGTTGTTAAGCAGTACTTGGGCAAGGACAAAGCCAACAAGTCCCTCGGCTGCTGGTTGTCTGGAAGGTCTACACTTCAGCTCGAGACTTCGACTGGAATTCCAATTCAAATACCAGAAAACACTCCTTTCGACGACATAAAGCAAGCAAAGAAAGAAGCTCTTCTCAAGTTCTTTGCCAAGCGTCCTTGGATAAAAATACCAAACAAGGAGAACCCCCTACCCCATATGAAATTGGCAATTCAGTCTCTCCTTCACTTCTCGGGTCAACCATTCTACATAACCTGTGAAGGCGACATCCAACCAGTTCAGTAAACATCTCATTTTAACTCACTTTTTTATGTTTTTTGTGAAAGTGTCAAAAATAAATTGTTTTCATGAGTTTTCTACGATGTTAGAAAAGAGGTGAGAAAACGTGTTAGATCTAACATGCTAACATAAACATTATTTTTCAATACTTTTTCAGCACTTTTCCGTAGTTATATATGAAAGACAATTCGAGATAAAAGTCATAGTACAATGGAATAATATGTTGCACACCATTTGTTGTGAACCAAACTTGAAAGTCAGAGAAACTGTTACTAGGTGGTTCGTAGAATTTAGAAGCAAAGTCATAAAAGTCCTTACCAATACATAGAAAACTATTGTTGCTTGAACTGAAACTTGCATGACACATAACATTTTGAGGGTCAAACACGTTTCTATAAACTGTCAAATCTGCTGGTGGAAGTATAAATTGAAATGGACCATCTGGTGGTAATGGTTCGTTCTGGTTTAGTAACCGAAGAAATTGTGCCCAAGAACGTTTGTCTACTTTCCAAAATAAAAACTCTGTATCTCTTGGAGGGTTAATTTCAATCTTTTGAAATGAAACGGTGGAGTTCATCTTGTCATATTCTAGTTTCAGATAGTATGTTCCATTTAGTAAAGAGTCGTATTTTTCTTGAAATTCCCAATAATATTTGTTCATTTGAGTTTGAAAGTCATTTAGAGTTTTCTCAAGACTTTCGTCTGAACGAACTGTAAAGATTCTCATTTCGTCAAATTTGTCTATTAGACCATCAGAACCTTTATACTGCCCATGAAAATATACTGCGAACATAAATGCGTTTAGTTCTATTTGAAAACAAAACTCTTCTAAATCCTATTGCCTTTGCATCTGAAGGACTTTGAAGCCAACGAATTGGATAGTCAAACCTGTATATTCGGGATGAAATTTCTTCATCTGAAATAGTCCTACCAGCATTTGTAAAGATATAGTCTAACGGTTTTGTATCTGCTACTTTTGTTCTTTGTTTTTCAACCTGAAGCATTTAATATATGTAAAAATATATTGTTTTAAAATGGTATGCCATTTCATATTTCTCATCTAACAAACAAGTTTCCCAACTCTGCTTTTATTCTAGCAGACTCTGCTTTTATTCTAGCAGATTTTCTATCCATTCTATATGGGGCATTTTTATAAAAAATAAAAAAAATATTTTTTTCTTTACTTAACATAACCGCCTGCTGCCATAAGTCTTTGACGCCAACCCATACCAGCTAATGAAGGTTGACTTGGTTTAGTTTCCAAACTAAACTTTGGTTTTGGTTTATCTTCAGTTTTGGTTTTTCTTCTTCTATCGGTTTTTCGTCACTTTTCGGTTTCTCTGACTTTACTTCACTTGCAGGAACAGTTGTGTCGTCAACATCTTCATAAATATCATATGCCATTTGTTTTTGTTTTCCTTTCAACTTTTTGTGTTTGTTGTAAAGTTTAGAATATTTCGACTCTAAGTCAATGAGATGTTCTATAATGAACTGTTGGTCAGTGAAGTAAACTTTTCCATCTGTTTCTCGAAAGCTCCTTCAGACTTCAAATATTTTATATTTGTGAGAGTCTGTTTCTTTTTTGAGATACTTGCCGTTTCATTTTTATGAAAAGTGACTTTGTAGTTAGGGTTTGTATTTCCAGACCTGGCACTTTCTATTATTGAATTTTCTCTTCATCTGTAAGTTCTTTGACAGGTTTTGACAATGGTTCTGAACTTTTTGTTTGTGGTGTCAAATCTACCGTTTCAACTTCTTCGGTCATTTCATCTCAGTAAAAAATTTTAGTTTGGTTTGTTTTCAACTGGTTGTTTAGGTTTTTTTAAGTCGGTCCTAAAACTTCCTGAGGTATAGGAAGAACTTGACAAACACGTTGTGTAACTGCTGGAAGCCGACAAATCCATCTTGAACCATTTGTCTCAATGCTGTATTGTCATTTCATCTCAGTAAAAAACTTTACATTCCCCACGTTTGAGGCGGTTGAGGTTGGTTATTGTTTACCCATTGTTGTGCATGGTTATATCCTCTGTTAAAGAATCTTTCACCTTGGTCCATATAGTGTCCTGCTTGGTTATAGTAGTCATTTGCTTTGTTATAATAGTTTCCTGCTTGTCTTCCTACATTGTCCATCCATCCTTGAACTTTTCCTCTTGTTTCAGGATTTGGAATAAGATTTGTTGCATCTCGTGCTACATCCCAACCTTTCTGTACAGTTTGTATAATAGGTTGTGCTTTCTCTTTAAGTATACCTAATGTACTCAAAATCTTCCTTCCAACTCCAAATAACACCTCTGGCTATTGTTCCCCACTGCGGGCAAAATCTGGATGCAACTCCTGCTAATGCGCCAAATAAACCCATTTCTTATAGGATAAAAAATGACGAATCCAAACAAGGACCCCTATGTTTCTAAAGCGACAAAGAAAGCACTCATGGTAAAAATCTTTAGTTTCAACACCAAATGCTTGGTTTATGGATATCTTGGAAAACATTCCGAGAGTTAGAACAGATGGACCACCATACTGGTTAATATTTGTTTGGTCAAAAACACAAGATACTGTGAAGCCATACCATTACAGTCCAAAGCTATTTTAGATATCTTAGCAGCTTTGACAATATTCGTTGACAAATACCATCCAACAAAAACTGACATCTGACTGTGAAAGTTCTTTCAAATCAGATGATGTAAAAAACTATCTGCGTTCAAAAAATGTAAACCAATATTTCATTGTCGACCAAAACCATTCTGCTCTTGGTGTCATTGACGGTTGTATAAAAATGTTAAGAGACTTAAACCAACCACAAGGTGGTGAAGCAAATGAAATGTCATATGACGACAAATATAGACACTTCTCCATGGCAAAGATGAGACAAGTTTTAAATATTTACAATAGCCGTAAACAAAAAGGTTTGGGAACCACTCCCCGAAGAAATGAAAAAATAACCCTGACTTAGAGAAAGACTATATATTTAATAATTTAGTCAAAAGAGACAAACAAGAAAGAATGCCGGGCTTCAAACTTCAGAAAGGTGACAAAGTAAAAATAGAAATACCTAAACGCGACCCATATGAAAATACTATTGACTATGACAACAATGGGAACCCGACAGGTACTCACATTCGTGTTCGTAAAAATAGAAGAAAGTATACAAGAGAATATTATGAAGTTTTAGGCAAACATGGCAAAATGTACAGACTGCAAGCAGAAGATAAAAACTACTATTGTCAGACCTCGTTTCAAGCTTGTCAAAGTTCAAGGTGGTATACTTTCAAAGACAGTTCCTAACAAATATAAGACAACTCCTGACGAATATGCTAAAGAAGTTGAAAATGACGACTATTCTATAATAATATGCGTTAAACTGTCATGTAAGGTGGCATGTAGTCTTTACTTTGTCCCGTTGTTTGCGTATATCCTGAAACGCGATGTGTATGGTTTCCTCCTCCTCAGTGTTACTCAGAAACAATTTATAGCAACTGAACGTTGTCTTTAACATTCATATCCTTTACCTTTTGTCATTGCTGACCAATCCCAATATCTATGCTTATGCCAACCTGCTTGAGATGTACTTAAATCTATGTAGTGACTGTGTGCAGGTAAATTTTCACCTGAAATCGTTTTACTTCCACCTGTTTCCTTTGAAGAGTTTGCACAATACAAAAACCTGTCGACTATTTGAGTCCAAGTTCCAAACCAAGTACTACTTCTGGTCTGGTAGAGTTCATTGACGTATAATAGAGCCTATAGGATATAATGTTTGAAGTATTTCTGTCTTTAATGTTTGAAGCTCTGTTTTGTCTGCTTTCTTGTCATATAAATCTTGAGCAGTGAATTTAGTATTATATCATCCTTCATGACATAAACATCTTTACATCTAATGTTTCTCATCGTCGTTATGTCGTCATCCGATGTTAAACCTTGTGGAAAGTTAGGAGGTTTACAATATAATACATCCCCACCAGTTACGTCAACCGTTCCTTCAATACTTTCTATAGCAACAGTTGTAAAACTTGTATGTGTATGAGTCTTATTTGCTTTCTTCTCTAACTCATCGTTAACATAAGTTTTATCTGCTTTAAGGTCTAAACATCCTGAAACCCATCCTGTATCGGCTTTAGTTTTTAAAAATCTTCGATGTCCGTTCATGGTACCAGTCAACCCTTTCTATAATTTCTTTATCTTTTTCATCCACATATTCCTTATCTGCTTTCTTCTCTAACGCACTAGCCACACAATCCTTATCCGCTTTCTTTTCAAGGCTAACGTTTAAGTCTGTTATTTCAGATATAGAATGTGTATGAGTCTTTTTAGAATATTCGTTTTCAGCTCTTGTCACTTCACTTGACATTTTATTGTCAACATATGTTTTGTCTGCTAGTTCAGGATGAGTATGTTCTTTTGTTGCATAAGCATTGTTAGCTCTTTCTTCTTCTTTTGCTATTGCATCGTCTACATATTCTTTGTCAGCTTTGTTGTCAACATCTGCTTTCAAAAAAGTTCATTTATAGGTTTCTCGTTTAAAGTTCCTTTTGTTGGATTTATACAGACAGTATTGTTCTTCTTGTCTTGAAATAGAAACTCATCTGTCATTGGGTTTAATGTCAGTTTTAAGTTTCCTTCTTTCAATGACTCAGATATCTTAGAATAGTTTGAAAAGTTTGTTGTGTTCTTATTTAGAGCTTGCATAATGAGTTGTCGGTTGTTGTATTCTCTTATGGAAGCAATATCTTTCGACATTTTTATTCTAGATAAAATATGCTTTCAATAGAAAAAGAAAATTCAAGAGTTGCTACAACTAAACCATTAGATGAACTTTTTACTAATGTCGGTCAAAAGTTTGAGACAGAGACCGTAAAGCATGAAGGCTATCGTTTTGACTACCCATTAAGATGGCTAAGAGACCCATCTGTCACAAAAGCTATTGGCTTTCGTAGAATGAAGTTCATTTCAGAAGCCATACATGGTTTCCCATTTACGGTCGGTTTTGAAGTTCGATACTATAACAA